GATGAAGATGATGAAGATGGAGGAGGAGGAGGAGGAGGTGGGACGAGGCTGGGCTCCACTCGTGGCCGTAAAGACCTGTTTGTGTCTGCAGCACCAGCATCAGCATCAGCAGTGTTTGTAAAGGCGCTTTGTGCATCGCTAATCCGCTCTGATGTCACGGTGCAGGAGGAGGGGCTGAGCTCTCCGCGTTTAATCCCGAGCAAGTTGTCTGGAGCGACAAGCCGAGCCGAGCCGAGCCGAGCTGAGCGAGCAGGCAACGGGAGCAGGGGCGATGTGTACTGCAGCAGCCGGACCCGGGCCTCTCCTCCTCTGACATGCAGGTAAATGAGTGAATGTCATGTCCGGCAGCCGGTGCCGGGAAGCCGGGCTTAGTGTGGGGCAGGAAGGCGGAGTGGGAATGTGTTCGGGTCTTTCGCGCTGATGGTGGATCCGACACCTGCCGAGATTGAATGTGGATCCTCCGGAGGGAACCAGGGAGGCATTTAGACAGGTGACAGTTTGCTGCACTTTTTCTCCAAGTGGATGTCAGGCAACGGGCTGCAGTGAAAGACCGGGATGTACGTGCATCATATCCAGAATAACACCGTGATCATTTATGAACAATATAAACGCATTTCAGAGAGATAGAGTGCAGGACTATTCACCTATTGATAATGAATAGCAATCTCAAAGGGAAGCCTTTTAACATAATAAAACCTTTCAAGGCCAGGGGAGGGGATTTAAGAAGCCTTCAAAATAAAAGCACTTGCCAGTTTGGCACTTGTTCATGGATTAGTCATGAATGTATCTTCTCCCTGTGGAGCAATGGCGTAGACTACATGTAAACACAATGTAAGTAATATGACTATTGATGTATCCCAACATGGACCATATGTTTGCTGAGTGAGCGTGTCTGTCACTGTGTGGTGTGTGTGTGTGTACGTGTGAAAGAGGGAGAGAGGAGGGGAGAGGATGAATCATGCTCTCAAGAATAGAAAGATAAGGAGAATCATTTCAAAGTGAGGACAGTTGCATCTGATGATTATTTTCATTATCATTATTATAATATTTCCATCATCTGCCAGTTATTTTTTGATTAATCATTTATCTTAAATGTCAGAAAGGAGAAATATATAGTCCACAGTGGTGTCTTCAATTGACCAACAGTCCAAAACCCAAAGATCCATTTACTCTTAAACTGTTTGAAGAAAAGCAGAAAATCCTCCCAATTGAAAAGCTGGGGGTAGGTAATCTTTGTCATTTTAGCTTTAGATGTGTAAATCAGTTATCAGATTTGTTGTTTAATTTTCCGCTAATTGACTAATCGAGTAATCAACCAGTCAACTGTTTCAGCACTTGTTAGGGTTTTAAGACAGCGTTATGGCTAAATACAATAAAATGCAATATTAGGATCTGGGTTTAGGGAAAAGTTTAAACTCAGGATTAAATGTGTGATGTGTGGTAAGCATTTAAATTAATGGGTGTACCTTTTTAATGTTGCCTTTTTCTGATCACTGCACCACCCAGTGTCTGTTTAATTTATTTAATATTTGTGAGTATGAAAATGATGGCTTAAAAAGGAAAGTTTGGGTTTTTAAAGTGGGGTTGTGTGAGTTACTTATCCATAGCCAGTGTATTACACTGACAGAGACGCCATAGTCAGTGTGTAACACACTGGCTATGGAGTGTATTACACTGACTATTACACTACAGAAGATGGCAGTCGGCACGCTCCCGGTTTGGAGAAGCAGACAGGAGTACCAGCACAGAAATGAGCGATCAATTTAAGTGCACGCTATATTTAGAATATTTTCATTGCTTTACCTAGCTGACAGAGAGCCTCAAACTGAAGCTGGTTGTATTTCTCTCTCCAAAGCAGCCAGATTCCACAAACAGCAACTTTACCTTGCAGAACACTGGGGTTGCTAGTCTACCACTGCCTCGTTTTGAAACAACTAATGTTAGTTCAGATCCAAAATAATGTGTTAAAACACCAAAGTTACACAATGACACAAACTAACCAATCGAGGCAGCGGTGGACTCCCGTGCAAGGTACAATGACTCTTTTTGTCAAAGGAGTCTGGTGGCTTTGAAGAGAGCACAGATCGATAAAGCGTTTTTCTAAGCTTAATTGATTGCTGACGGTGAGTGAAATGAAGAGTGAATGCCCTTGGTCATTAGAAATAATTGTTTCTCACAATTTCAATTTGTGTAAATACCTTCTAGAAGCCCCTGTAGTCTAGTCATCCCAAAATGCCGTGGGACATTTTATAGAATAAATGATTTATCTGTTAACAGGTACATCAATAATGGAAAAAGTCATAATTCAGCAGCCACGATTCAGTAAAAAATGTTGTGTAATTTGCTATTCATCATCATTCAGCCCTAGCTTTAGGCATGTGGTGGAGGAAGACTAGTGAATTGATGTAATCAGTGAAGGTCCTTGCAAGTTCGTATAGCACACGTGTGTTGTTGTCAGTGTGTGCTTGTCTGTCAGCATAAGATCAGCGAGTTAATGGGCTAGTAAATCCCCCACCCTGCAGCTTTCACTGTGGCCTGACAGATGGAAGTGTAGTGCTCGGCTCACAGCTCTGCCGGCCTGTGTACGTTTCACTGCCGTGCTGCCAGGGCCATCTGTGACCCGGGCAACCCTTCCTCTCTGACCCCCCCCCCCGCGCTACTCTGAGTCACCCAGCCATCGCTGTCCAGTCCTAAAGTCCAGGCAGAGAGGGACATTAGCCACCCTAGGAGTCCGCCCTCACTCCTGCTGCGTCCCTTCATGTTCCCTCCCCAGCAGTTGTGGTTTGTGCTCAGATTACAGGATCAACATTAACCCTTGCCCTCTGTGTCTTCAGTCTGTCCACTTGTTCGATCTTTAAGTCTAGAATGTGTATATGTGCACATATAAGATGACACATCAGTAAACCTTCTGCTGCCTCTTAATGTATTGTGAAACCTGAATATGAATGTTCAAGTGGAGCTGCTGTAATTCACACTTTAGCCTTTCATTAATTTACAAATCTTATGAGAAATCCACTCTCACGCATACGATGGATGAAATAGCTTATAAATGAACCTATTAAGATGAAAGCGATAATTAAGATTCAAATTAATCTGGCATACTTAAAGGTCCAGTGTGTAACAATTGGGAGGCTCTATTTGCAGAAATAAAATTGTATAATCGGTGTATAATCACCTGAATATGAGAATGGTTGTTTTTGTTACCGTAGAATGAGCCGTTTATACCTACAGAGGTTGCCTTCCATGGGAGTCTGCCATGTTTCACTACGTAGCCAGGAAGCGGAGAAACAAATCACTATGGTCTAGCATAAACTGTGTTTGACGGACCACCGTAGTCCTTCGCGCTTGGAAGGGGAGAGTGAAGTGATGGAGTTGCAAGCTGCAATTACACTGCTAGATGTCGCCTAATCCTACACACCGGTCCTTTAATCCAATTTTCTTAGTTGTCTTTTCAAGATTTCCTCACCAAAAAAAGAAAAAAACATCTTTAAGTATTATCGCTAAACAAATAGGTAGATTTTCCTTTGCACAATTGTCTTTTAAATGTGGGGAAGCACCCTTTATGGTAAAGGAGAAATATCTTTTCATGCCTGAAGTTTTATTAACGAACATACGCAGATTCCTGGAATGATTTAAGTACGTTTTTCAAAAAATAGCGAAAAACACTTAAAATAACAAAATACTCATGTCCTCAGTTTGATTTCCCTTTTTTGTTAGATTTTACATCTCATGCATACAGCCAGACATTTCTATATTCTTGTGATCATTAAGGTCAGATAAATAACTTATGAAAGCAGCTTCAGTGAAACATATGGAGTAGCAATAATGAGAAATGCTTTTAAGCATTCATGTAGGCATGAACAAGCTTTATCCTTCTTTTTTCCCTTCAAATCAGACTGTATATTTTTCTACACTATAATTTTCTGGAACCAGTTTATTATTCCTTAAATTGTAGTAGGATTACATTGTGGTGTCTCAGCTCATTGACCTCAGACACGTTGAAGCCTGCGATGAGAGATAACTAATGGATACTCTGATAGCCTTGTCATATTAAATAAATATCAAAACTGGGCTTCTCACTCACACAGGGCATTTATTATTCAGATCACTGCCCTATTCATCTCTCTCTGTCGGGTCTTATCTGATACCAGAGAGATGTCCCTCCTTGTCCTCCTGCCCTGCCTCCTCCTCCTCCTCCCCCTCCTGCTCCTCCTCCTCCTCCTCCTCTTCCTTTTCTATCTTCCCGTCCTGTGCCATCTGCCAGCTGCTGGTGGACGGATGAATGTGGTGAAGATTAAAGTGCACTGCACACCCTGATGAATCCCAGAGGATTTAGGTTTCTGCTATTAGAGACAGGGATTCCCCGGGCTCATACTGTAAACTGAAGGAAATGCAAAGTTGCAAATAATCTGAGTTAAAGTCAGTGGCATTGTTAATGTAAACTAAATGTGTGTATTTTACTGCTGCCAGAGAGATGGATATTTCAGATATTGATTGCAGTTATTATGAGTCCATCCATTAGCTATACCCACTTATCCTTGAGGACAGCTGGAGCCAATCCTAGAGGCAAGAATTCAATGCCGCTTTTGATACTGATTTGTATGGAAACATTTGAATGTGTATTCAGGAAGTTGGTGTTCAATATCCAGTCCTAATGAGGTGTCTGTTTGACTTGTGAGGCTAAACCTTTCCTTGGACCTCTTGTGTGTGTAATTTGACTTTTCATGTTTATATCCTGTCTCCGTCTCTCTCAGGCTGTGCTATGAGCAGGATTTTCTTGGAGACAAGAGGAGCATGTTCTGAAAATTGGAGTCGGATCACGCCCCAGCCATGAGCCACAAGTATCAGGGAGAGGCATCCGGGGAAGCAGGTGAGGAGCACAAGGTGCCTCCGAGGAGCAGGCAGCCCAACGGGACGACCCCCGGGGAGCCTCCCGTACGTCGATCCTGGAGGCCATGTCAGATGCTCAACCAGGATGGAGAACCCAATCCCCATCATCATCATCACCATCACCCTCCTCACCACCACCACCACCACCA